GTTGGGCACAGGACACACGCAGGATAACTGTAAAGTGCAGAGTCTGTGCGGCAAATGCTTTTTTTTTGAGGGAGGGAGCGAAATTGTGCCCCAAAAATGATGATTTATACTGATAATTTACCACTTCCTGCCATTCCCAGTGCGCTGCGCGATTTCATGCATGTCCTTGCAGAAAGAGTCCGATTGATATATTTTAAATGGAGCGCCAGTGACTCATTTGGGAGTCTGTCGCTTCGACCCAGTACAAATCGACATGGAGTCATCATCATTTGGACACGAGACAACTTTTCGGGGGTGGCGCAATTGCACATGAGAGCACTTTGCTGGCAGCCTCGCGGGCGCGCCCCCCTCGCGGGGGCCCTGTCGCATATCATGACGGCGCCGTCGATTGTATGTCATGTCCGGGTGCTCCACAAATGTGTCCATCGCGCGATGCCACTTCATAGCGCCGATTTGGAGCGCCGTGTGTGTGTGTGTTTTAATAATAATTAACTGTCATTGTCACATATATAAACGCGTAAATAAAACTTATCGGTTTTATGCACTCGAAATGCGCACACGGGGAATCGGATTGAATGTCAGTGAACGAGAGGAACACGCGTGGGATCATCAGCCTGTCCACCAATCCGTCCAGCATTGCAAAAGCCCCAACATGCAAACCATACTTGGCGGATGTGACGGGCAAAAAAAAGGCGATGGTAAAACAAGAGAGATGTTCACGAATAAAAATTGTACACATTTATCGGTCATAAATTCTCGGCACTTCACGAAAAATTGCCGTTAAAAATCAAATATGTTGCATTGAAGAAGTGCCACGGAATGTCTTTCACCTGACCACCGCCGAAAGCTCTCCGTCCACCGTCACTTTATGCAAAATGTGCGCCGAGGAATTAAAAGTGGATTTATTTATTTAATTAATTCCATCACAGGTGCACTCAAATGCACGCTGGAGTGAGACAGAGAGGACTTTTATAGGAGTTAATCAGTGAATTTGAAATAATTGAAGATAAATAACTATATTCCCCACCTCGCGGAGTCTCCTTGTGCGCGCGATATTCTTTTTGTCATCATCCACTTCGAGCCATCTTCACCGTCAATAATAAATTCGACAAATTACGACATTCTGCCCCAATGACATGTGAATGCTATTCCTATGGATGCACAAAAAGTCCAGTGCGAAACTAAATAAATTCGATTTTGCAGCCAATAAAAAAGGTGCATCAAATATTTTATGTTTCATCTCTCTTTCCACATCTTCTCTCGAAATGCGCGCCGGACAAAAGACTGAGCAAGAATGTCCAATTGATAAACAGTCAATTCACATTGATGCCGAGGAGGGTGGAAATTTAGGGAAATCACTGCAGGTATTCTGCCGTGTTTTTGCCACTTCTGGTGCTGCGGGTGGAATCTAATCGAGATGTTCGTGGGAGAATTTCTACACTTTTGCGACTCATTTTCAATTTTATGAGTGAGTTTTATGGAGAACATCCCCACAGCTTTACTGCCGCTTTCAAGTGCAACTGAGCGGGATTACTAAACAAATTGAAATTCCTACAGGTTCAATCAAAATTCCTGTAAACTTCGAGTTTCTCCGCCAGTTTCGTTCATTTTGCACTCATCTCTCGGTAGGTTTTTGCGGTTTTTTGTCATCAAATTTGAATCTCAATACTATAAAAAAGTTAATTATTTTAATCGCAATTGCCGATAAATTATAATGGATCAAGAAAAGACAAATCAAAGGCCAAAAACACATCTTGAAGATGAAAATGATGTTCAGAAAGTCTATTCAATTCTTTAAACCTCACATTCACTTCTGCTCGTTATTTCCTTGATTTTTCCCGAGACTTTTCACTGCTGCTTAGTGCAATCTTAACAATCCAGAACTCTGTCGTGAGCAATTGCAGTTCGGCAGAAAGGCACTTGTCACAGCGTGAAGTGTCCGTCTTTTGCGTAATTCAATTCGGGGAAGGAGAATTCCTTGCGTGTGCCTGCGGAGGGGCGCATAAGTGGCATAACCAAAATAGAAAGTGCCTTCCCTGTTCTCACCCTCGCCCGGGAACGCATGTAGGACCTCCTTGGTATGGAGAATCAAGTTGAATGTTTGAAATATCGCCCGAGCATGTGTTTTTTCTGGTATTAAGTGAAAGAGAGTCTTACTGTTAGATATTTCTTGATTTATTGCCAGGATATTTTGTGATGCAAAAGCATGTCTCTCTGGGCTCTTTGTCTAGCTTTCTCTCTTTCATGTCAATTGACAGTGATCCAAGGAAGTCTTCCCTCTCGGCGATTTTTTACTTCTTCCTCCGTCAGAAAGTGAAAGAGAAAAATTGACTCTATGGACATGAGAAAATTTATTATGATGGACCTTTCTCGTCTCTTTGTGCGTGTCTTCCAGACATGCTTTTTTTGAAAACTCCGTCATTTGCCGCCACTCAAGCGGCTCAAGTCAGGCCCAATAAAGTCCTTATGAGCCCGGTTTCACCGTGCGTGCTCATCGATTTGGAACCAAACGCCAGGCTGCGGTTCGGGAGTGAAAATTAGGATATGATCGGGATGCTGACCGCTAATAGGATTCCGATACGTGCCATTAGGCCCTAAAACTCCCCTGTAGTGCTCGCGGTGGTGGAGCTGCAGAGCCAGAGAGTCTCATTTCTATTCGCAAATTGTCTTATCAATTAATCACTTGCGGTGAAAGCTGGACTGAAGCGGAGGAAAGAGCGATGTGGTCCAATAATTCATCGATTTATTCGCCTTCACGGACTTTCTCACACTGTGATTTCGAGCTATTTTTTCTCATTTCATATTTCGAATTAGTGTGAGAGCTGTTTATCACCCAGGATAGACATTTGGTCCATTTCATCCATCTTGTGGCATTTCTTCACCTCAATTTATTCCCCAGCAGAAAATCCAATTTCTTCCCTTCACACAGCATTCCTCCGAGTCTGATAACCATCATCGGGGCGGGTTTGGAGCGCGAGAAATTTCTCCAAATTCACATAAATAACGTAAAAACGGCGGGCGGGATTGATTTATGATGGACAGCAGTGCCGGATGACATTGACGAACACCATGCTCTTCAGCTGTGGCTTTGGCGTGGCAATGAGACCCGAAACACCTGGCTTTTGCGCCCTTCCTCTTGCCTCATGAACCCTCTCTTTCGCCCGGAAAATGGTGACTAAACTGTGAAGGCAAAAAGACGAAAGACACTGCGGAAGATGGTTAGAATGCCAGCTTTCTTGGTTGGTTTCTCAAGGAATGTTTCCGGGGGCGTTTCTGGTTGACCGTGTTGAAAGGCCGATAATCAGTTTTGAAGAAAAGAGAGATAATTTGACTATATTCTCTACAATTTGTCTGCTTATTCATGAATATTTCAGACATTCACTTGCAGCATTTCTTTAACTTCTTCAATAGTTTGTTGCATTAAATTGAAACTTACTCATAAATTAAATGTTATTTTATTTTTTTAGGAGTCTTATTAGGCTAATAATCCCATATTATTCAGCAGATTTATGTATTTTGAGCGATTTTGCCTTCGGCGACTGTGAACTTTTGCCTGAACAGAGTCAAACAATTTCCTATAGAACAGATAAAATCTTGTAATTCATTGGTAAAATAGCCAAACTTCACTAAGGATTCGACAAATTGAATACACCGCTTTATCGTGATTTTACATAAAGGAATTGCAAATTAAAAATTCCTTGAAACCGCATTAATTCGTGTAAAAATCATGCTGAATGTAAGATGATTGCGCGGAATAATTGTGATGCGCGCATTGGGCGAGTCGCGAATGATTTTGTGGCATTTTCGAGGAATTTGGGGTCCAACAGAGACGCTTTTGGTGGCTGAAAAGCGCCCTTTCACATCCACAAACCCCAAAAGGGACACCTTGACTAGCGCAAAGTGGAGTTCCGGGAATGCTTCGCTCAACGCACTTTCGTGAGGGTGGAAGCGAGTGTGTTTGGGGCGCCCCAGTGGGTGGGATGGCGTCGCCCATTGAGTGTTCATTCCGGTGTTTAGTGTCGCGTGCATCATCACTCTTGGCTGTTTGCGAAGGAGAGGCGAATATTCAGTGGCATCATCACCTCCAGCGTGGCTCCGTATTTACGAGGGGGCGCTCGCATAAACAATGGGGATGCGGGGGCCACGCAGGGGGGAGTGCTGGGTGAGACATGAGATGCGGTGTATTCGGGTGAGATGTAATGTGGGAATTGCGAATCCGCATGCTGTTTGTGCACTTAAACTACTTGTTGCTGATGGATGGCGAAGCGTCCATGGCTCTTGGGATTGCTTATATACTACACATGCCAAAATGCAATGCCGCACATACTTTTAGGTGGGAAAACTAGCCCAGCTAGTTTGCCAGACACTCTCGCAAACAGTCCATATGCCGCCGTTTAACTCCTCGATTCCATGCACACCTCTTCGCCTCACGCGGACTCGTGTTTCTCGCTGTCCCATTTGGATTCACATTGTGGTGGATTTGCACGGTTTAATTGCGAGACTCGGGATTCCAATCTAACACGAGAGCTTCAGTCATTTCTGCTCAGAGTCGGGATGCGATGCTATCGGCAGTCAAACAGGGGCTTTCAGTTCACTTTCTTTCAGCTGATGTTGCGTGAAGCGAGAGAAAACTGGTCAGGAGTTGGAAAATGACGCAGAAAAGAACGTTCTTCTGGGCAATAGTGCATAGCTAATCTCAAAAGTAAATCTTATATTGCCTGGTTTATGCTAATTTACACATTATAACAATTGCTAAGAAAGAGGCTTAGCTTTTGAGATTTTCTGTCAAATCTCTGAATTCTAAAAAGGAACTTCTTTGCGGGATTTGCAGACATAAATGTTTCTCATTCCCCAATTTGAATACCAACTGCTATCTCGAGACAAAATTCCCACTGGTGAATGTTTGTACCTCAAAATTCAATTAATTCCGTGCCCGAGATAAAATTGATACGAAACGAACGAGAGAAAGGAATTAATTTGGGCAAATTCTTTTCTTGCAGACTCAACCGAAAGCTGCAGAGCCAGACGGAGTGAAGATGAAGAATCAATTGATTGTCGAGAATGTCTTTGAACTAATTTTGAGCAAAAGCAACCAACTGCTGAACTAATGCTGCTTGGGTAAGTCTTATCATGGTTTGTGTGTATTGGAGAGTACGGGGAAAAATTCCTCAAAAGCTCCTTCTAATCAATTTGATACAATCATCCCAACATGAGGAATTCCTCCGTTGTCTTCGCTGCGAAGGAAAAGTCCGACGAGATGCGAATAATGAAGTTGGATGGCAAAAAATTGCCAGCATGCACACAATTATCGGGCTCTGTTATCTTAAGGGGCGCTGCTGGGGAGGCTGCGCTGCCCATGGGAAGGGTCTGAGGTGCCGCAATTAGTGATCAACTGTCAAAAGGGGCCAAGTGTTGAGGGGGAGCTGAGTTATTCTTTGCATATTCTCATATGGTGCAATCCTGCGCGGCCTGAAATGCCACTGGAGACGTGCAGGCAACCCTATTAAGTGCCCGCGAGACTCCTATCTCTTCGCCACACACAACTCCAGCGCTCGTCGTCTCCTTTTTGGTATTTTTCGCGAGAGATTGTGCTGCGGGATAAAAATCGAACAGTGCGTAATTTATATCCTTTGATGAAGATACGTGATTCTGTGAACAGTGAGTTCGTGTCAAGGTGTCTCTTTTTTCTCAGGGCCTCTCTCAGTATTACCCTCGGGAATCCAGCACACGCTCTTCGTTTTTTGATACTTTTTGACTCTCTTGGCATTGTTATTGCTACTCCCTTTTTATTGTTCTCAATTCCTCCTCGGCGTTCGCAAATGTCTGACTTTTCTCCAATTTCGCAGTATTGTTCTTGGATTTTCATGCCTTCGTGCGCGCTTGTAGGAGGGCTTCAGGACGATTTTCTGCTCAACACAATCGATTACATGGCGTCACAGGGCGTTGAGGATTTCTGTCGGAGCATTGAAGCAAAGCCTCAGTGAGATTTTGTAGGAAATTCCCAAATTTGTCAAGTTGCATTGACGATTGCGTGCAACTCCAACTCTCGCTGTTGATCGCAAGGGAAAATTCACAGCATTCCGTCTTCTGTGAACTTCCTTATATTGTGTGCATAGTATTTCGCTGTTGGCCAAATTTACGACTTCATAACAGTCTTTTTTGCGCCCAGATCATCGCGCACATGCGAGAAAATGCGGCCCAATAGTGTTCTCGGTGTGGAGGAACTGCGAAAAATTGTGTGTAAATTTTCACTCAATCTTCACGCCCATAAATTATCGCTCATTTGGCTACTGTTGGCATCATGTGGCTGAATTGCGGGCGGAGGATGGCTCATAATGAGATCATATGCGTCTAAGTAATGAATTCAAATGAGCAGTTAAGGCCGACAGTCCATGAAAGATTCTCTCCTTCTTTATCGCCCTCTTCTTGCCCTCTTGTTCTGCACACACTGAGGTTGGAGCACTGCAAGCGACTGCGTGCACGGACGCCGGAGATTATGATATGAGAGTCTCCCTGCTATTGTTCTACTGTCCAACAATGGCTTCCCCCTCGAGTGAGGAAAAAAGCGGCCCAAAGAGAGCGAGGAGAAAAATGAGGCAGCGAAGAGGTGCAGAAAAATTCCCGTGAAACACTCACGCTCACCTTAAACAAATCATTTGGGACAGTTTTCGATAGTCGTGAGTGTATTCGCGAGACGCGCAGAGTGTTTATCTCAAACTTGATGATAGAATGATCCAAATAGCGCACAAAAACGGCCCAAGAAGTGAGACAATGGCTTTGTGCGAGGGAGACAAGAAGATTGATATCGTGTGTCGACGGAGGAAAAATATCTCTAACCTTCGATATCGTTCCAAAAGAGTACACACAAAAGACGTCCAAGAGTTTGCTTCCTCCTTGAACTGTACCTTTCACTCCCTCCCCCAAATGCATTGCCGAGAAATGCAAATGTGACCTCTTTCAGGTCACTTTTGCACCAATAAAATACCCCACAGATAGCGAATAGTCGCCCCCGCCCGAGAGAAAGATGGATTAGGCGAGAGGCCAGAAGAGGAATTGTGAATATGCTGGACTCAATCCTCTGCAGCGCAGGGGGTTGAAGGAGACCTGCAATTCCCGACACTCCCGGAGAAAATGCGAGCTTCGCCGCGAGGCGAAATGGGCGAGATGGGAGCGAAACCCACCCACCCAAGCCATCCATCAACGCAGCCTCCCAGCCACCCACAATTCTCGTCATGATTGGCCATGTGACGTCATTAAAACGTTTGATTCTATCGCCGAAAGATTTACGCATTTCAATGGGGGGATGAACGACATTCTCTCTCACTTGCCTCTTTTGTTGCCACCAGCCAAGTTGTCTTGCCGGTGGCAGGCCAGAAAAAGGGAGTCGCTTCGATGGGATATTTCTCTCCCAGCGACTACACAGCGCCCAAGTATCCTGGAGAAAGAGAGGAAATATATATGCGAGAGTTGCCATGACTACCGAAAATTTATTGAAAATGGAACACCACCATTCGTGGTGACTTGGGTGGAGGGCTCAGCCGCCCCCTCGAGAGGTGGCTGGCACTGTATCGAAATCTTTCCACAGAATCTCGAGAGCGATGGTGAATGCCTGTACATCACCGGCAGCCCAGAGCTCGTCTCTCATGTTCGTATTTTGCTGTGATGATAGCGCATTTTTGAAGGGCGGTTTGAGGCGCGCCCGATTCCTGGCAATTTCCACCCTCGGAATCGTGTTCATCGAACGACGACGGAATCTCTCTCCAGAGAGACAATCAATTCCGACAAAAGTGAAGAAAAGACGACTGACTCGGGTGTATTGAGGAGAGTCGTGAATATTTAAAATATTTCAGACATCATTTATCTCATCGCCATCGATCGCGCAGCCCCAAAGGCGAGGGCGTCGCATCCAATCTGAATAACTCCTTAACTTTCGCCCCGATAGATTTCGCGTCTTTCACCCCTTGAAGTCACTCCGTCTCGCAATCCCGTCTTCCTTCCGCTATTTATTGCCACCGCCTTGGATGCACAGCGCCCCGATCCGCCGTCCGGCAACTGCATCATCCTCAGCAGTGTGTGTGCGTCAATAAATCCTCGAGGACTCTACGCGATAGCAGTTAATGTCAGAAGAGCAGAATATATAGGATTTCCAGCTATAAGAATTTGCTCCATTGAAACAGAGGCAAGTCAGTAGCACTGTCTTAAGTTTATGCCATCAATATTATCCTAAGGCCTTCACGTATCATCCTTCTTCGTCCTTTTTTCTCCCCTTCGGACGCCCACTTAATGGATGAGAAAAGCGCTCCGAAAGCCCTGATTGAAGGCCGATCATAAATATCCGCAAAAAGAGTCACTTTGACACGGGAAATTAAGATTTAATTTTTCTGAGTGAACACAAGAGGATAAAGTCAGAAGAGGCGAAAAGCATTCAATGTTTTTTTGGAGAGAAATTCCAAGATATCTTAGAGATTTTGCCATTCATAACTGAAAATACTTAGTTTTAGAACTAATTAAACAAATTTAAACCAACTGAAAACTAATTATTTAATAAGCGAACACGTTTCTTTCTAATGTTCTTGAGGAAAATGAGACTTTTATCGAATATGAAATTTGAAAATTTTATTAAACTTTGCAAATTAGAGCAGAAATTTTCATGTCTTTGAAGTTGAGTGCTGAAGAGTTTGAAACTTAGCGAATATTTTGTTAAGAGGTTTTTGTGTTTTATAAGAAAGTATTAATTTTTTTCTTCAAGATTTTTCACTGATTTCATAATTATTAACAATTTTGGAAAAATTGGGATGTATTCTTAAGCATCCTTTGGAAAAATGTAAATTATTAATTAGTTAAAGCAAAAAAATCACGAAGAAAACAATTTTCTTACCATAATTTTGCAAATATCTTTGAATTAGAGATCTAATTATTTGATATTCTGATTTATTCGTCTTACTCGTCGAAAAGACAACAACAAGTAATCCCAATAAAACAAGATTTCCATGTAAATTTAACGATTCTGTTGTGATGAATTCTATGAGAGCCAAGAAAACACTCCAATCACAGCTCCGTGAGATTAATTACACCTCCGTAATCTTGCTGGGCTGCTGGACTGTGCGACTAGCGAATAAATCAAACTCTCCGGCAAACCTTGACCGCTTCCTCGACAAAACGCGCCTCAAAAGTATGCTCAAGAGTTGCCCAAAAGCGGGGTCATGAATTGAAATTCACAAAACGGCCGTGATATATTTTATGGCCAAAATCTAACTGAAATCTGGTACAATTAGTGCACGAGAATCCGGGGAAATTCTCTCGCCTCAAAGGCTGTCATAGAAATGCAATAATTAACGCAAAGTCAGAATCCGTCTCTTCCTGTCGCATCGCCAGTGCTGAAAAGTGTGCTAAATGCCTCAAAGATCGCGCATATGAATTAATAAATCCACACAGAGAGAGAGAGCGAGAGCATAATGTCTAAACAGTGGAAGACACAGAGTCTGAAAGCGGGAGTGTGGGAGGAATATAGAAGATGCCATTTGCAGGAAATTCTATTTGTACGTTTTCACAAAATACCCCCAACATTAAGCAACACACACACACAATTTTCATATTGGAATATGAATAAACATTTTGGAATCTCCGTCGTCTTGCCTGACCTCTTCAATAAACGAGAGCAATTTGGTCTTGTGTCATGAAAATCGTGATTCACCTTTGGGAAAAGTTGTGAAAATGCTTGTGAGCGACTCGCAGGGGGCGGAGGAACTGAGAAAGACACACAATTGGATATAATTTTCAAGAAATGCATCCAATTTCGCTTCGGGGATGACTTCTTTATTATTTCTCTCATATCTTTTTCCTCTCGTACTGGCCTTTTTTGATCTCCCTGAAGCTTCGCTCTGTTCTCGATAGAATATCGAGGCCAGGAAGTTCTCTTTCTCAGCTTTGATGGGATAAGCTGATGCTGAGGAGGAAAGGGAAGTAGAAATGGTTATGAGAGATTAGAAATTCCTGGCCTTTGTGCCTTTCAAATTGAGAAATTGTGGATTCTGTCGACATCTTTGATTGGGAAACACTTGAGTTCATCTGCCCGCCCTTTGTTATCGGCAATCACCCATCCCTGGATGAGGATGAAT